TCGAAAGAAACCTTGCTATCGCAAGAGTAACTCCAGCTAGCTTCGCTAGCTTTCGTGAAAAGAAACAGGGCAAGCGTATGTCCCACACACATACCTGGTTCTTCAAAGTGACCTTTTGATATCCCTGTTTGAGGTCACTTGGGCCTGTAGAAGGTCACTTAGGCACTCCAAAGAGGTCACTTTGAAGAAGCTGGTACGTCCCGTCCGCGCCTCATTTTGAACTCCAGGTTCTCCATATGAGGCCGCATCAAATTCGTGGCGATCGGCTTGACGGACTGCGTGACGCGGCGGTATTCCTTCAAGAAGAAGGAGAGCTCATGGTTGTAGGTCTTGAACTTTTGCTCCTGTCGTTTTTGCTTCGTGCAGACTATGAATGGATGGACTATGGATGGTCCATGGACTGTATGGATGTCTATTGCGGAGCTTCTGCGTTTGGGGCCGATCACGGCCCAGAGGGCTTTCTTTACGAAGTAATCGCTGAAAGAAGTCTCTTCGGTATGTGGTACATGAACTTTCCATCTTGGAAGGGAAACAAGTTGAAGCATTCAAGCTGCATCCATTGCCATTCTTCAAGGTCCGGTCCTTCTCCTCTGCGTTCGGGGACACAGGACGCGGAAACCACCCGTGTCCCGTCCCGTCCCGAAGATGACCCCGCTTCGAATCGTGGTCATGGTGCGGTGAGACGAACGAGACTCGAGACGAAAGACCCTATTGACAGATTGCAGCGGTTTGTCTCATTCTTCGCTTTTAGGTGCCCTGCCGCCCATGTACAGCAGAAGCCCCAGTACTGTCCTGTAGCAAGATCATCTTGGCGGATTCTGGAATCTCAACGCCTCCTTCGTCGGGTCGAAACCGACCGTCTCGACGTCTCCACGCTGGTCGGGGTCGAGTGTCGTGTGCTTCGTGGACACGTCACGTGCGAGAGGAAGACACGTCCGCCCCGGTGACTTGCTGGAGAACCGACCTATGACCTTCCCAGGGCGGCTTGGTGGCCATGCCAACAAACAAAAGATGGTTGGAGGGGCGGGTAAGATTGGTAAGCACATCCCACAAGAACCACGTCCTCTCCACAGCAAAATAGAGAAAAATGATCAAAAAATGATCGGGAGGGCAGGGCCTAGTATGCTCCTCAAAAGTGACCTAACATCACATTCTCACCTACTCCTACTCCAACCACTTCCCCCTCCCACGCTCTTTGAAAATTCCCTCTCCAAGCAGCCCATGCGGTCGAGACAGCGCGTCTCACGAATGAGCTGCAGAATCTCCCAATCGAAGTTCACATGGAAACGCATCCCATCATCCGGGTGCCTCGAAGAACCAAGAACCAAACCCTTCGTCCCAGATGAACAAGCCTTCAACCCACCGGAAAAAAGACCAGGAGAACGACACAGAACAAGGCTTAGGGCGCTTGCGCCCTTCGTCCCACGTCCGCGGGGAAAAGAAGGTCTCTTGTTGGTGACTCAACTCGATGTTCACGATGTTCACGAGTCCATCGACTCCAAAAGAATCTAGCACATCGCGAGGGGTCCTGGACAGTCCTGGCTGGGCCAGACCTCCATACCATGTATTTTGGTGGCTTGGCAGGCGTGGTTATAGTAATTTATATATATATGTATATATATATATATTATATAAATAATATAAGTTAAGGTGTTGCAGCGTTGCAGGGTCGTGTATTAGGGGCCTAGTCATAGCATGTGTTGAAAACAGCACGACCGGAAACCAATGGGTCCTTCGCTTCGCACGACCCTCCCCTCACCCTCGCCCTCGTTCCACCAGGAGACTTGATGATCAAGGTGGCTTGAAGACCCGACTTCACCGTCTCGATGCTGCTTACCCAGGCCTGGATTCGGCAAGAAGCGTTGAAGGTGCTGAGGCCAGGCGTTGATGGTCCAGGCAGAACGGGCGTTGTTTGGGTGCCGAACATGTGCAAATGTTTTCGTGGGGTTGGCCGAACAGGGCGCGGTTCGTATATGAAGATGCAAATAAACACGGACACCGGACGCCACGGGCGATTTGTCTTCGAAGATCGCCTGGTACCAGAGTGTTTCAAACTCGACCAAGGTCTTGGCCATCCTTAGATTCCAGAGGCATGCTTCGAAGCTGGACAACGCGAGTCTCCCGAAGCGGCCAAGGACACACAAAAACCACATGGCCTCCACAAATTCCGAGTGATCATTGGATGTCATCTACGTGTCACAAACTCCCTTTCTCAACCTGAGGAACAGCGCAGTCATGCAGTCACTTCCCCAGCTTGGCAACACCACTCAGTCACTTCTACGGCGTCACCGCCATCCGGTGAACGAGTTCCAAGCGAGCGTCTTGTTGTACATCCGGATCAACTTACGTGAGTCCCTTCCAGCCTCAGCGACGGAAAGGACCTCATCTTCCAAGAAAGGCACCTCCCTAAAAATCCAGTCGTAGCTTCGTTTGTGGGACTGGGGTGGGTGCCATGTTCGGGTCCAGTCATACCGAACCTGAGGAGGTACCTACAGTAGATGATGCTCTTGAAGTCGGCAGCTGAAAAGCTAGGTGCAGTCGGTGATTCCGCCCCACCGGTCGTCTGCACGACCAAAAGCTGCATGACAACAGCTTGGACCATGACCAAGACAGCTGGATTGGTCTGGAACTTCTGCATGGGCCCCTCGATTCGCCTCACAAGAGGATTGGTTGGAAAGTGAAATGATGACAGTGTCAGGCCATCGCTACTGCTACTAGTTTGGAGGTCATCGCTCTTAGGGTGGAGGCAATCACTCTTAGGGTGGAGGCCATCACTACTAGGTTGGAGGCCATCGCTCTTAGGGTCATAGTTTCATCTGGGTGGTCTGAACTCACTGTTTGCATCAATTCCCCTCCCTTTCCAAAACCTCCCGCCTGTAGAGGTGCCTGGACCACGTAATGTGCCCTGCTACTGGAGGCAAGTTCCTCACGAGTGGCGGACCTGCCCAGCTTCGCGGACGCGCGCAAACCGCTCACAGCACACCATCCTCTATTCAGCAAAGAGTCACCCGGCATGCGTTTTCGAAAGACGAACCAGTCAAAGGACAAACCATGAGAGACTCCCGTGTTCCTGAAACAGCTCGCTGCTACAGTGACTTGGTTGGTGACGGGTAAGTCTGCCTGAAGACAATGACATGACGAAAATGGCTCCTTACTCGCCAGCACTAGACATGGGAGCCCCCGCGGGTGTCTCGACCCGCCACTCGCGAGACGAGGACACCTCGACTCGCACGTCTCGACGAATCTCGATCTTGCCCCGTTCACCGAAATCGACAGGTGTTCGATTCAGTGGTGTTTGGAAGGTTCTTGAATGTGTGGACGGTGTACCAGGAGTCACAGAGCGAACGGTGCCGGTGTGCCGGAGGAAGGAGGAAGGAGTACACATCCACGGCCCCGAACGGCTGGGACGAGCCACACCACCCAACTCCATGTGACTCTTGGTAGTAAGCGTGTAGTGTAGTAAAAATATGGAGACCCCGCCGGTGATCTCTGACGATGGTAGAAAGGAGAGGTGAACGGAACACGAGCAAGAGCGAAGCGGCCCACGTCACACCACACCAGTCCGGCGGCCCCATGGGAAAATCATCAGAAACTACGACATAAAATCTGCACAGTCTGCACACCTTCCTGACTGGCTCTGCGGACACACCAGGAGTAACTCTTTTGATCTAAACGCCCGACAAAAATGAGAAAACAAATTCAAGTCCAAACGGCCATGAACAGGCCATGTTCCAAGCAGTGCCGTGCTTGGGTTTTCTTTGATACGTGATCTGGATGTGAAAAGCAACCAAGGTGACCAAGGCGTTGCAAAACGTGTTCATTGCTGAATTAGTTTACATTCCCAAACACTTGGTAAAGAACTCAAGTTTGCCTGAAAGTGGTGTCTTCTAGCCCAATCCAAGCCCAAATATCTTCGTTCTTAGCTGTCAGATGGTGCAAGCTTCAGAGGAATGTGCTAATATTATACAGGTCCACAGCTCTCTGTGACCCAGATTGCCTGTCTTGTATTTCTCGTACTGGTCTTGCACATGCGTGAGTTCCAAGCCGTAGTTGTGAAAGATCACCGCAAACTTCGTCTCCAGGTCTTGTCGCAAGCCTCAGCTCGCTTGGATCGCCTCTGGTCCGTCTCACGGTTCACCTGTCACGGTCAGTCTCCGAACAGACGGTGCCGGTGGAAGGAGGAAGGAGGAAGGAGGAAGGAGGAAGTGCCCCGACATCACATCCACGGTTTTTGGATGAGAAAAAGAAAAAAACTAAACACCCCTTGTATGTGACTTCTGAAGATGGAGAAGATGGAGATTCGGTTGGATTTTCAGGGCTCAAGACCAGGCCTTCAAAGCAGGCTGAAGGCTTCAGAGATGGTTCTTCGAGGCCAACTTCCTGTCTTTTGGTGTCCCCAAAAGACAGAAGCCCAGGTCACTGCAGGTCACAAAACGGACTGACGCAACACTTCTGAGGTCGCAGCTGTCGCGCTGCAAGATGCTCTGGAACTTCGCAAGCAGCTTCAAGGAAGATTCGATCGAGGCAATGGCCTCGGTCGAAGTGTTTCGCGACTCTAAGGGTGGAAAAAGGGTTGGTGTCTGAAGACACTAGTCTGTGACCCTCCGACAGGTCACCAATAGACCTGTTAGGGTCCAACAACCCTCAAGTAACAGCCTGTTGGAGGGTGCTGGTAGATGCATCAAAAAGAGTTCTTTCTTGTTGGCTTGACATCCATCCTTGGTTCAGTCTGCTCTACTTGCAACAGCCCACGGTTGACCAGCTGTGTGTCACCTAAGTGGTGGTGTACACCAACCGTTCAACCGCGGACCCAAAAAGACCCATACAAATGGCTCCGAAGACGTCGACGTTGCTTGCAGCTCCAGGGACCTCAAAAGACTGATTGATGAACATTCTCAGGTTGCTCTCCAGATCCTGAGATGATCCGAGGACTCGAGCACCAGTTTCACCACAAGCGTCACGCGAAACGCCACGCAAAACGCGTCGCGCTCAAGGCGCACAGAGAGCGACAAGCTCGAGCACTCAGTGGGGCTACCAGAAGTGATTTGCACGAGCGAATCCTGCCAAATACCAGCTTCTTCAAAGTGACCTCTTTGGAGTGCCTAAGTGACCTTCTACAGGCCCAAGTGACCTCAAACAGGGATATCAAAAGGTCACTTTGAAGAACCAGGTAACCAAAGCCCTCCAACTGTGCCGCCCCCAGAAATCGTGAAGATGTCGCCTCCCACACGTAAAAATGGCGATCGAACCCAAACCGCTCAGGACGCCAGAAACTGCAGGAAGCTTTCCAAAAAACACACCCAAGAGAAACTGTCTCCAGCTGGCAAAACCGCTTCCAGTGCCTCAGCACGGCGCAACGGACTCGTCGCAGTTGACCGAGATCGGCCCAAACCCCCAACCCCTTTGGCGGCACCCCTCGTCAGGTGGCGCCAACCCCCGTCCAATTTCTAACCCCCTTCGGAGCAGGCATCGGAGATACGGACGTTGAACTCCACGTAGTCCCGGTCGAAGCGGTTGTTGTGGAAGTCCTCGGTCTCACCGAAGGAACCCCACCGTTCCCAACGGGGTTCTTCCGGGGGTTCTTCGGTTCGGATCCCATCGACCCCCAAAACGTTCCCTTCGGTTCGTGGCAACAAACCACGATTCCGATTGCCACAGGAGATCCCTTTTTCAGGTCCGGAATGAACGAATTCCCTGCAGAAAAACGCCGGAAAACAGCCGGCGAGGTCGTGCCTTCTGCATTCTTCGCTCCAACGGAAGTCAGCCAAGGGCCACTTTCGCCGTGGATGGGCCATGGATGCCAAGACCATCGAAGACGATCGAAGCTCTGTTTGAAAGCGGTTCAGTGAAGAAGTCTCACGAAACAAAAAAAGTACCGGGACCCTTAGATATGTGTTCGTCCTTGGAGGTGAAGGGGTGTCCAGAAACCACCTTTGAGGGGCCCGACGTGTAGAGATTTATGTAACAGCTCTGACGATATGGATGAATTCTTGACCTCCATCGTTCCCGTTCAGCTGATCCTCAACCCTTGTCCTGTGGACCGGTGTCTTTCACTTTTCTTAACACCCCCACCCACACGTCTCCCCCTATGACCTGAACACCCCCCCCCCGCAACCCGTGACCAAACGACCCGGCCTTCCATGACCCGTCCACCCCGTCCACGCCGCCGAAGCTCCAAGAGGTCGTGTCGCTTGAACTGGAACTCCTGCGTGGACGTGAGCGTCCCTCCGACTGAGGTGGAGGGTGGCCACTGTGCCGGCCCAGGCCAAGCGAACGCCGCTTACGGGAATAGGAAGCAAAAGGAGCGCAAGCAACGGGTGAACCCAGGATCGGTGCGGTAAGAATGCTCAGCCCATGTCAGCAGTCAGCCCAGTCAGCCTACATGGCATCATGGCATCATGGCACAGCTGCTCAATCTGACCTTTCCTTGACTAGATTGGCATTATTCTCCAAAAACACTGGTCTCCCTCATCGCATGCACGGCCGGTTTGGTCGCAAACCGCAGCTGGTTTGGTCGTCGCGGTGCACCGCTTCCTCCAGGGTCTTCTTAAAGGATAAGACCAGTGGCTCCATCCCATCGAACCGGTGCTGGGACAGAGACCTGAGAGCCCCGGCAGACCGCCCGAGCGGAAGGCGCGAGCAGAGGTGGAAATGAAATGGAACTGATGGAGCCATGTCCGGGACAGTCTTGGAAGTGCAAACATGTATATAATCCTTCCAAAAAAACGGACGTGACAGGCGTTTTTGGGTTGGAGGCAAGATCCAGGCAGCCTGGGCCTGTGGGCTCCTAAATGGCCTGAGCCGCCTGAGCCGCTAGGTCCCCGCTAGGTCTAGGTGTTTCACCCACTCATTTGATACGGGTTCAGGTTTGGCTCAGGTCCCCGTCTCCAGGTTGAGTCTCGGAACTCTATATGATCAACATGGATCAATGTTCCAAAAGAAAGCCACTGGAAAAACGAACGAACAATAAAACACGACGTTGGTTGTGCCCGACACTCATGGAGTTTCGGCATGCCATCAAGGAACGTGAACTGATGCACCGTCTGGAACATGTCGATGAGCTTCGTGACTCGTCGGCAGAAGAGGTCGAAACGACCGAAAATCAGCGTCTCGCTGAAGTCGAACTGTTTGCCTCGATGGGTTGGTCCAACGGCGAGTTCGGGTGGCCGGTTGGCAGTTCAACATGGGAAGGAATAATCGAGTTGCATGTCGACAGATGGACATGTTCAACATGTTCATGTTCACCACGTATGTCAACGGGTGTTTCTGTCAACGATGTGTTTGAGAACTACATCCTGCCCAGGTGCCCTTGGGAAGGGTCAAAAGAGTCTCCTTCGTCTGGCGATAGTACTCCTGGTATTCATCATTCAGACGGATGCAGGACCAGAGATTCCTCGGTTTCCCGGAACGGTCGACCGGTCGGGGGACGGCCGTTGGTGGCGCCAAGGCGCGCGCGGAGAGCCGAGTTTCGGAGCCGAAATCCGTCTGGGTGTGGGGTCGAGCCGTAAAGGTTCGAGGCAGTTTGGGCTGTTTTGGGGGACGCTTGGAGGATCCAAAACATATCCTTCAAATGCCGGAGATGGCAGCGAGAGGAACCTCGAGGTCCGAGTTCGCCAACACGAACTTCATCACCAAAACGAACCCAGAACGGAAGAAGAACGAAGGAATCCAAGTGACTTGATGAGCACCAAGGGATCTTTCTGCCACAAGAACTCTGACTCTTCACCTTCCAAAACACATTCCTGTCAGAGGTCACAATTCGTCGTCACAACTGCCCAGGTCACAGCAAGTTCCTAGTCAGAGGCCTCTGTCTAGAGAGGAGTTCACTCCATTTCCTCATGGGCCTTGCAAGAAAAAATCAAATCATGAAGCCTAGCCGGCCTAGCCATTTAGCTTTAAAGCGTGCTCGCGTGCGTTTGAGACGCTCTCCTTGCAATTGGTGATCATCTGGTTGGTGATCTTGGCGAAAAGGTTGGTCATGCGTTCCTGCAAAGTCGCCCAAACTCACACGAAGTCGCCAGGAAAGTCGCCCAAAATGTTGAGGGCATCCACTACCAGTGCTTTTTCGTCTTCGGACCCATCCACAAGACTGGTCTCGAAGGTGACAGCCGCCGGACACGTCTCGCATTTCGATTTGGGGCTACAGCTTGGTGCAGACCGGCCAAAGGGGCCCAGTTCACAACTGTTCGATTCATAGGAGGTCTCCGGCTGAAACCTGGTCATAGCAGCAGGGGGGGATGATGTACCTTTTCAACACGCCGGAAGCTGGAAGCTGGATGCTGCCCTTTCTTGACCCCTGTGATACAAAAAGGGCACCAGAGGAATCCTGGGCTAGTCCAGAAATACGTGTCGCCAGCTGTCCTGGCCGCAGGCCATGTTAGATACTTGTCTATTTCCAGGCTCCGTTTTGTCAAAAGTCCTTTGTCCTGAGCGTTTCACGTACCTCCACCTTGTATCGAACCACCCGCCCCAGTCGCATGTCAGTCAAGATTCGGTTGTGTTGTAGTAGCGTGCGATTGTGTGGATCATCTTCACCGCATTCCTCGAAAAACAAAGCACCACTGCCGTCTAGCTGTGGAGTTCGTTCAATTCAAACACTAGAAGCCCCTCAGAACTCCCAGATGTTCACTCATGACTGCCAATCTCAAGCACCAAAAAGAAACGCCCAGATGTTCACTACACCGGAGGTGACACTCATCTTGGCCGTGCGACCTGAGAGGTGTCGCACCACCGGGCTTTCACCGGCGGACATCGGACGTCGGACCGTGTCGACCCAAGGCACATCAATGCTGGCAGGGTGTCCTCAGACGGGAATGTGACGGCTCCGTTGGCCCGAGAACAGAAGCTCCCGGGCACCAAAAAAAAATGGTGCCCGTTTAGAGTGGCGTTTTGAGGCTAGGTTCGGGAAAACGAGGTGCCTTCTGGAAGTTTTGCAAGTCAGTCTAGCTTTGCTTCCTGGATCTTTTCTGGCAGGGTTTGACGTGTAAGATTCTTTGCACTTGTCACGCGACCTTGCTGCTCTTATCATCTCTTATCTCCTTGCGTCCTTGCTTTGGAGCAGCAAGTCCCACTTCCTAACTTTTTTCGGATCTATATAGTCACTCTTGTCTTGGCCAAATGAAAACACATCAAGTGAACCAGGCTTGGGGGATGGGCGTTTTTTCGCCGTCCAAAGACGACCTCCGGACTTACGGAGGTTTCGGAGGGGTCGGTGAGGTGTTGGGGGTCGAACGAAACTGGAAGAAGCAGAGACCGAACTGATGGCTTTCCGCTTTTTTATGGTGTTTAAGTTGCCATCCTCTCATGACTGACATGAAGAGAAAGCCACGGAGAAAAACGAGGTGTTGGATTGTTTAGCCATCATGATCCTGCACCACAGGATGTCTTGAAGACCCCGAAAGCTCTTTGTTTCTTGTACCGATTCATCGACGGATCCAGAAGCTGCGGCTGCATGATCCTGCACCAGTTTGCTGCAAGGCTTCGATGATGGTGCTTGGAGTGCCTGTGTACAATGGCTCGATGAACTTCTCTAAGGTTGTCAAATACTTCACCTCAGTTGGGAGGAGTAAAGCACATACCGTTCGTCCAGACTTCTGAAAGCTCCTGTGGTCTGAGCGAGAGCGAAGAAAAAGGAGGAGTGCAACCAAAGTGGCAACGACACAGCGCGAGGCAAGCAGGGCAACTAAGCCCCTCTCCCCAATTCGACAAAAGACGCAAGAACCCCAAACTCACAAACTTGCTCAGGGAGCTGAATGCTCCAGGACTTTTTCACGGCCAAGCCTCGTTAGTAAATTAGTATGTCTCGTTTGCACAGAAGTGCCAGACAGACCAAGTGAAAGAGACCTGTGGGACTTCGTGTGGATACTTCTTCCCATCCTTCCTCACTGATTCTCCTCTCCAAGTCACATTGTCTTTGGCCTCGTTGAACGCTTCGGTGATGGCAATCTCAATCTGTTTCCATCTCCGGAGCGTGTTGAAAACCTTTGCAGCTCCCAGAACTGTCACGAGAGAAACCCTCTCATACAGAATTACTACTAGGACCCACTGTCGGGGTGGTTAATGGACACCCGTGGACCTCTATGGGGCCATCAATAGACACCCCTTTGGGGGGTCCTGGTATACAATCCTACAGAATCCTCAACGAATGGACGGGTGTTTTCACCCGAGTGTCCACCGAGCCGTGTCCACCGAGCCGTGTGGCCCGCTACGGGCCGTTGACTACGGCAAGGGTCTCCACCAAAAGAAAACAAAGTTTCAGGAAACATCAAGACCAAAATGTATTCCAGAAACGTCACTTGCTTTCCACAGGTTCCAAGCACGTTCTAACAAAACCCTCCGAGTTCAAAGCGTTTGGTCGAAGCGTTGGGTCCCTCCATGGACCTCTGCACCCGGGACCTCTGCACCCGGGACCGGAAGCCAAAGCGCTGACTGGCGGTTCTTCGGAGCTACCTGGCGGGGGGTGGTGGTTTCAGGAACGTGACTGGCGGGAACGGAACTTCTTCGACAGAATCACATGTCTTGCGGCAAATTGCAGATCTGTAAAGCCGATAGAAAGGCTCACAGCACTTTCCTGCACTGGCAGTTCATCACAGAAATTTGTTCAGATTCACTCCTAAGCACTTTGAGTATAGTTTCTGTGACAAAGGATTTACAAAGGACCAAAGGAGAGGCTCTTTCACCGGAGCCGCCTCCTGACTCACGTTTGTGATAGTACGCAGCAAGCCGAAGACCATCTTCCGCTCTTTCGTCCTGGCGGAGGTTTCTGCACACCGGTTTCTGCACACCAGTCGCGTGATCCGCCACCCTTCGAGGTGCACCTGAGTTGCTCCGTGATCGAGGTGATCTTCTGTAGCCTCAACCGGTGCAATTCGCACGTGACTGGTGGAGGAGAAAGCGCCAGGGCCAGCGGTCCTTCTTTGGTCAGTCTGAGTTCCAGGACTGCTTAGGACCTTCCGCTGTTGGGAGAAGGTGTCGATGGTCTTTTTTGGCTTTCGCCCAGGGTATACGTCGTTCGGGAGTCGGGTGTCGTGGCACTGGGTGCCATGTTCCAAAACCTCCCCACGGTTGGACGTCCAGCCGCCTGTTTCGCCAGAAGTCCAGCTCCGTTCGGGGCCCTTGGTCCCCTGCAGAGTCCTGCCAGGACGAGTCGGTGCCAGTGAGGTCGGTGAGCCCTGGTTTTCAGGTGTCCCAAATCAACACATGCCATCACGCCGCATGTTTCTTGCAAACAAAAACTATGGATGATGGATAGTAAGCAGAGCAGAGCCTGGCAGAGCCTGGCAGAGCCTGCGCAGAGCCTCAGCTTACAAAACCACCTGTGTCATGAACAGGTCCTCAGTCTTCACCTTTGCGAAAATACCATAGAATCAGTAGAACTGCTCCACCCCCAGACCTTTTCAGCCCAACGCCCTGCCCGCCCTGCCCAACGCCATGGGCTTGCTCCTTCTGCTGACCTTCCAAGGTGGTCTCCAGGTATTGCTCGATTTGGCGACACCAAACCTACCAAGGTGGTCTCTGGGCTCATGCCCTTCTTCTCCGCGGGAAGGTATGCCAAAAGACACAGGAACCGTGGCTCATCCCCTCCTAGCAGACCCTTCCACAAGGAGGCTTCACCCTCCTCAAAAAAGGGAGCTTGCACCCCGAAAAACGACGCTTTCGGCCGAACATGTTCGGCTGGAGCGGCTGAAACTCGTCATACCGCCTCCAGGAGCTGTTCATACTTGGTGACCAGCTCTGGATGGTCCTGGAATCGGATTCTTCGATGTGGACCCGAACCCGAAGGAACTCAGGTTTTTGGGCTGGGCGCTTTCTGTTGAAGGGTTGAATTTCGTGTCTCAGGAGCATTGGCTGTTATTTGATTGGAAGCAACGCTGCCCAACACTTATATAACTTTTGGAACCCTTTGACATGAAGATGATTTCAAAAATACTTCAAGAGCTCTCAGCATCCAAATGGTCTTCAAACCCTAAACTTCTCAAGCCTGGGTTCCACAGTCACACGAGCTCAGTCCCAGAATCGAATCCAACATGCCTTTAAAAACATCGAAATCACTCGTCACCGGTCTCCACCTGTCTCCACGTCTCCTTGGCCACGTCGTTCAAGGTCTGATTTCGCAGATCCACTTCCGTGGGCTCCGGGCTCGGCAAATCGATGCCGCCCGAGAGCGACTGGATGCCCTGCGTCACGCGCTTGGACGTGCCCCGCGGTCGGTCCGTGCCCGGCGAGCATGCGGTTCCGCCCGCGCGGATGCGCGGTTCCCGGGTCACCGGTGGGTTTTCACCGAGTCATGTTGGGCTCCAAAGCCATCGATTTCGGCCGGTCTTTGGAGGCGGCCACACTCGGCGCAAAGGGGCCTCGTAGGAGCCCCCCGTTCATTTAGAAACACATGACACGACCGTCAGACGCCGAGAAAAACCCGATGTGTTTCGCTCCAATACCGTGAGACAGTCTCAAGTCTGTCTCTGATCTCTTTAGCAGGGTGTTCGTTGCTAGACTATAAACAGGTGTATAAAAGTGTATTATATTATATATATATATATCTGTGTGTGTACTAGTTACTAGTATACGCCAAGGTAACTCGATGTCGATTCTTCGTCTCTTCGCAGCTTCGAAAACCGATCACCGCACTGGAACCGCACCTGTGAGAGTTCAATGGTGAACTTCTCAAAGGTGGTCTTGAACCTGAGACCATCACTCACAGTCATGCAGGAACCTGTGGGGGAACCTGTGGAAACCTGAAGGGAGGGTCTGTTGGGAAACTCCTGCTTGATGCCTTTCTTCCTGCCAAGCCTTCACCCAAAGCCTTCACCCTTCGCCTCCCCTCCCCCTTTCCCGCCTCGACGAAACCTCCCCTCCCGTGGCGGAATCGACCAACCTCAGTCGCACCAAGTCCTCGAGGACCACCGCCTCCGTCGCACCGTGGAGGGTGGCACCGTGGAGGGTGGCCGTGGTGCGATGTTGCAATGGCCGTGGTCGCTTGCAGACCGAAAGTCCTGGCACCTGGCACCTCCTTCCAGTGTCCACCAGGTCTGGACGATGGTCCCTGGAGACCCAGATCTCCTCGGCTTCCTCCCAGAGTCCTGCTCCTTGCGACGAGCCTTTGCCCTGTTTGTTCGATTCAACTCTTCGGCTGCTCATACTCTCAGTGGAGTCTTTGTGCAGACTTCGTTGCGACAGGTGAGGTGATTCCACACCGCCCGCATAGCTTGGGCATGGCCCGGTGGGTAGACTGGTCTATGTTCCTTCTTCCAGGGGGTCATTGCCCGGGAGGTCTCCCTATTCTACTCCACACCCATTTAGATGACTGCCAAGTCCGAACTGCTTCGGCGATCGCACCCCCCCCCCATTCACGAGCGCACACCCAGGAACGGAGTCTCTCGAAGCGCGCGCGGCTTTGCGCGCGCGCGCGCGCTTAACCACATGGATCGCCGTGTTCTGAGCGTGTTCTGACTGATGTAGTGTCTGTGTTGGGTCTGGGGTGAGAGACCCCCCGCCACTTCGACCTCTGGGAACCTCTAAAAAACAAAGCCATTGGTTGAAAGGGGCCCCCTATTGAAATATAAGCCCAACATGGTGGGACAATGACTAACAAAATCTGATATGTCAAATGATATGAGATGGAGAGCACAATGAAGAGTCTCATGTCATGGGCAAACACCACACACAGACATCCACGGCACAGTCCAAAACCTGGCTCTGGCACTTTCGTGTGACCGCCTTGAAGACCCTTCGCGTACGGCTTCGCGTACCTTGGCCTCCGCGCTCATGGGCTTGCTCCGCCTCGCAGGAGGCCCAATCGGTGGACGCTTGGCTGACTAAGGGCTTGAAGACATCCAAGAGGCCTCCGGTGCGAGTCACTCGGACCGAGCTTCAGGGAGTGTCCCAAGCCCGGAGGCCGGAGAAACAGGCTCCCGGAGAGACCTTCCGCGGGGGGTTTTGCCCTTTTTTGGTTGGACATGATTCGAATGATGCTTGGTTTAAGCTGTTAAAAGTAGAAGGTACACAGGAGGTACATCAGGAAGCTCACGTTCCACAGAGCTGTCGTGAGTGGGGCAGACCGTGTGCCCGCTTTGTACTTATTGTGATGTTTACACGAGCACACAATGGCAAAACACCAGCTTCGTTGGATGTTTGTCCCCTCAGTGGCCCAACAGGCAATTCCGCGTCCAGCTGGAAAAACATGCGTTTATTGATGATCTGCAGCTCTTCCACCGGACCAGGTGTACAAGGCCGCGCGGCATTCGTTCGTTCGGCCCAAGCCCGATCGTTGCGACCTTCTCGCCAGACGAACCCCACACCCATCCTCCGTCCGGTTCGACGGTTGGGATCCCCATCCGACCCTGGGTCACCTGGCACGTTCCACCCGAGACGAACACCCGAGACGGACCCCCGGTGCGGCAGGCCTGTGTTCAGACCTGCCATGCGGTCGAGACCGGGTGAAAAAACAAGGCGCTCCAACTGCGAGACCGGTGTCCAACTGTTCTTTGCAAGGCAAGGCATTGTCCAAAGTATATACCAACTCAGGTCCCATCGGCACAAAAACAAGCGGAAAGAGAGGACGACACAACTCAGACTAGGAGTTTGCGGGCCTTCTCTTCTCTCATCCAGAATTTCTACAACTGTAGTTTGGCTGCATTGTATACAACAAATCTCCAAAAGCGCATGCTCTGCGCAAAGAATAAACAACCGGAAGTCTGGCCTCTGGTTGTCATGAGGCTGTACAATTCTGCTGTATGCGGTGACAGTGAATTCCATTCATCCAGTGTGAAGCTAAATTCTGGTGATTGAAGCAGCTGTTCTTGCCCGTGCAATTGAGCAAACCGCTTTTCCCATCATTCTCAGAAAACAACCAAAACCACATCCCTGGTCTGATCACACCCATCACACCCAGACATGACTCCATGACCCAGACTTGTGTTGTTCGCATCCCCTGTGTGTCCCGGCTCTCCAGTGGAGATGCTGCCATCTCGCCGAACAGAAGGTCGCCGTCAGAGGCGACGTCCGCCTGGCCCGGACCGTTACGGTTTCACCGGAACACGTCGCTGGCGCTCGCTGGCGCGTTTCGCGTTTGGGCTCCAGTCGTACCTTCGTTTCGTTTCGGTGGGACTGGGGGGCCAGGTTCGGGTCCAGTCATACTGAACCTGAGGAGGTACGACTGGAGCCCAAACGGGTTTGGTTGGAACGAAGGAACGCAAGGAGTTCGAGTGCTCGGGCCTTCACGGGCTTGGAATCAGCCACGTTTCGGAGGAAATAAACCTCGATCGGGGCCGTGCTGTGCTCGAGCATGGTCCACCCAGACCCCCAGAGTTAAATGAGAACCCTTCGCGACGCGTTGGGGAAAAACTTGAAACTCAGCATCAGCCGTTCTGCACTTCCACCCCTGCTCTTCGCTTCAGCAATCACTCAACCGCCCCTTGTATGGCCCTCAGGAAGGCGTGGCCAGAAGGAACACCTCTTCAGCCTGGGCCTCCTGGGCTTCCTGAGCTTCCTGCCTTCACCAGCCACCCAACCACCCCAAAAAGAAGCGGTCAGGTCCGAGTTGCTGCTCGGTTCTTTATTCGTACATCCTCATGCTCACCCGTGGTGATCATGAGCTTGGCATCACCTCACGGTTCCGTGGACCCACGTCCGTTCGGTCGACCGAGTCTCGACTCGACTCAAATGGCACAAAGCTGAACCAAGAACACTTGGCCATGAGCAATCTGCGGAGTGGGTTCGTGCTTGGTTACGAGTGCTTGGTTACGGTGCTTGCTCATTCGCCTTCCAGGTACAATGCAAAGTGAGAAGACGTGCTCTTCGGAAAAAAGGTCCATTTTCCTTGCTTTCCTGTGTTTTTGGGTCGATTGGCCGACCCATCGACGGTCCCCGCCTTTTGCATCTACAAGCTCATTGGCGTCGTTGATCACATCGGGCCGCTGGTAGTACACGAAAACGTGCTTGTGTTTGCTTTTGCCTCAATGGCACCGGGAGAGACTGCTGAGACTGCTGAGTGGTGCAGTCTCTTTGTTTGTGCACCAAAAATACCACGAGTCCCAAGTGTCATTGATGCTGAGGCAGCTGTGGAAACAAAGTCAAAGCTCGACATGAGAGTCAACCCCAAACGGACGATTTCAACGACTGCAGTTCCAAAACAGGAGAGAGCCAACCTGTTGAACAGCATTTCCAGATTCAGTAGAAAGGATCTCGAGGCTTTGAACAATGACTTGCCAGAAGCTCCCGGCCCCTTCCAAAACAATAGGAGCATCCTGGCCTTCAAGGAAGTCATTCAACTTCTTAAGGTTATTGTACTCGCCCAAGACTTGCTCGACGACGTGGACCCTGTGAAAGCCATCCGCCAGTCGGTGGGGATGAAGGACCTTATAGGACCCTACAGGGGGACCCATAGGATAGCCGAACTAGGGTTCTTCAACCTCTGTTGGTACTTCCCAATGAGGTCGGTTGACCATGTCTGGGGTGGTCCCTTCATGGTAGGTCCGAGCGGTCCAGCGTCAATTGCACCCTTGGGACGTTCCGGTTTGTGGTCGTCTTCTCAAACGATGGCCATGGCAGAAATGTTTCAACCCTCTTGTCGTGCTGGGCCTACAAGGAGTTGGCAGGGTCCTCGTAGGGAGCGTGCCTAGAAGGAGGTGGCAGGGTCCTCCATGGAGGCCGCGGGTCCATTCATGTGGAGGCGGCCTATCCTTCGGTGCACTGCTTTCCCAGCTCCCATGCGTCTCTCAGCGCCGCCGGCGCCAGCAGCCATGCGTCAAGCGCCCTCCCTTTTGGCCTGTCGGACATGCCAAAGGCTGCGGCCACGTTGGCCGCCATCCATCGATGCCGTTCCTGGAGTGCCATTGGTGCACCTTGCCGCGAAGACGCTCGCCCGTGCGTCGGAAAGACGACCGGTTCCAAAAACCACCCACGAGCTCGCTGCGGTGCGCTGGCCGCGCTCGACGGAGCTCGGGTTCGGCGAGAGCATCCGAGGGTGACAAGCATCCAAAAGCAACCGTTCGCTCCTTTCGACGGAAGAGACCAACCTTTTTTTTTGAGCCGGTACCTAGCTCAGCAGTTGCTCAAAATCAATGATTCAGACTTGCCCAGGGGTCTGCACCCCCGGTCGACACCCACACTAACAGTATTGAATGGTTGCCATTCTCGGAACGACGGGCGCGGGCGCTCCAAGAGGCTTTGTGAAGTTGCAAAAAACGGTGGGTCCTGGGTGGCCGAGCCGTTCTCGCCAGGCGTTCTCGGTGGACCCGAGACCCTTCCCAAGAGGGGCAGGACATCCAAACATCAAAGGCATAGACCCTGTCCCCAAAGAGATGACCGGATTGCCACGGTGGTCCAAGACATGTGACGACCTATGGGTGTGACCGACCTGGTCCAAACTGAAAAGGTCCACTGAGTCGGATGATGGGCAAGCAGCGGTTAGGAGCTGGACGGTTGATGTTGTTGTGCCTCAGAATGTCGGGCGAAGGAGGGAGTAGGAACCGTCGACCGTCTGGAAGAAGATATGGATGGAGCAGGCAGAGTTATGCCTTGGAAGAACGGGGGTCTATCCAAGGAACATGTGACATGTGATTTGACAAAGAAAGTAAGCTCCTAACACATCCACTATAGGACACATGAACAAACATGAATTTCATGGTGCTCTGAAACATGATCCCAAAGCCTAAAGAAACTCTGAGGACCTAGATTCTCGTGCTCCAGCTCCAGCTTAGCATCTGAACCTGCCCAGACTCTGCAAGCAGATCTCTCGCAGATTGCTGAGGCCGCAGCTTTTGCCACAACTTGGTCTCTGGCAACTTTCGGCCAAGAGCCACAAAGGTGCTACGGCCCGGCGCGGAGCGGCTTTACGCGCAGAGTCTCGACAGCACGCTCGAAAGCATGATAAGTGGTACCGCTGAGCCTGAGTCTTCTAGGCCTTGCATCCATCTTGTCCGACTATGACGATTTGGATCGGTATGATTCGGGGTATCCATATTGCTGGTTGATTCTTGGACGAAAACCAACACGTTCTCATGCTCGTTTCAACCATCCATGCTCCGCGGGTTTCCAACCCATGCTCCGCTTTCGGCCGAAGAACCGCCGTCTCTCGGCCCTCCGAGTTCGGACGAAGAGCGTCCACTCCGCCCCCACTCCCCTCGTCTCGCGACACGGACGGAGCGCTCGCGCCCGGGAGGTCTCAGCCAGAAAGACTTCCACCAGGTGAGGCCAAGGAGGCAAAGTGCCTGGACCATTGGGGTTCAACCGGTGGACCCGGTCACCTCGCCACCCGAAAGGTCAGGTCAGGCAGTGCGAAGGCAGGGCTCTTTTGTCACCAAATCAACGGAAAACCGACGCAACAGTGTCTGGTTGTGCCAATACGAACTGCATGCATGTTTCACCCAACCTTACAAAGAAAGATAGCGACTGAAAACCCGTCACCAAATGCATGGATTCCGTGCCTTCTCGGCATCTGGAGGAGGAGGACCGTGAAGGGGGGCCAAAGGCCAGCCTTGGACTTGAACTCAAGTTCCGGTGAGTCAGCTTATTGTGCCAAAAGACTCTGTTCTTGTTTTCCAGAAAAAAGATCAATCCACGCATGTTAACCACCAAGAAGAACGCACCAGAAAGAAGACCTTGGTCAATCTTGAGTTTTCAGATACTTTTGCATGACTGCCAGTCGTACTGCTAAAGAATTCAAACATCCAATAAACAGCTCAGCTTCCTCCCAAAAAAAGAAGGAACCAAGTGCTACACTCCCCACTCGACTACACTCCCCGCGGACGTCACTCCGTGGAAAAACTTCAACGATGAAGAACCGACTTCTCCGCCACGCCACGCATTCGCCACCTCCGCGGCCTCCTCGAAGGAGAGGCCGGGGAGACGCCGTTGGGCCTATAGAGGGAGGGCGACGACCCCTCGTGTGGGCGGGTTACCGGGGACCCCCGGTTTTGTCGCTGGCGCCGCTCGGTGGCTTTTTGTGGCGCGGTCGGTAGGTGGGTTCTCTGAGTTTCGGGGTCTTTCCCTGAAACCTGAAGAATTCCAAATAGGCCGTCCTTCAAACCATCCAGTATCTTGGAGGCAGGCAACCGCTCGCTCGGAATCTCCGCAGAAATCGTCAATGTGGATCAGTTGTGACAGAATCCGTTTCGCCACACCTTCAAGTGCAAAATGAAGCGAGTGGACACAGAAGAGTGCCCTCTGCAACAGCCCAAGCATCTTTTGGTCGCTGGTGGCACACTTGAACCCGAAGGATTTCGCTGGCGCCCCCACGCCTCCTCTGCGGCTCGATGCCAGGTTGGCCCCTGGACTTTCGAGCGGCGAAGCCTGATGAGAGATGCCCAGTGATTTCAAAAGGAGAGGCAAAGCGGCAAAGCTGAGAGGCAAAGCTGAGAGGCAAAGCTGAGGGTGGCAAGTTCCAAACAGACCGAGTTCGCAAGATCGTGCGGGTCTTGGATCCATCTCGCGGTCTGGGAAGAGACCTCGCGGTCTTGGGGATGGGAGGACGGGAAGAGGTCTGTTTTCGGGGCACCGAATGGGGGGGGCCTGATTTTCTCCAATACTCATGTAGTAGACTCTTAGTAGACTCTTGATTAGTAAACGTAACCTTCCCATTTGAATTGGAAATCCTTTTCATCTGGGGGATCTTAATTCATCGTCTACATGACTCATGGAGGCAGCTTCGTGGCTTGGGCTCGTCGTGCAGGCTTCGTCGTGGCGCACCGAGGCATCGGCTCTGTCAGGTTCGCCGCAAATTCACTGTTGCTGAGCCGCTCAAAGTTGATCTCCTGTGCAGAGAAGTGCGTTCGTGAAGAAAGTTGAGAAACTCTCATGTGCCAAAGCATAGCGACCAGATTTCCAAACAATGAGTACCTGGAAACCCAAACAACCAGAAAGAAATGGATGTTCCCAGTCCCAGCCATTTCCTATTAGATCTCCATTGCCTTATTGGAACAACCGTGTGTTTTTGGTTGTTTGGGGTTCAGGTAGTTATGATGCTCCACACCAGGTATTGGCCCACTATCACCGGGCAGGAATCCTCCAGAGGAGATGCATTTGGGTGCACGTCGGGAACCACGAGCACTTCTCGGCATTGACACACCCCCCCTGCAGACTAACATAGACCGTGAACATAGACCCTGTAAGACGATTCTCCTCTACCACCCAGTGAGTTTTCAGGGTCATGTTAATCTGCAGGCTAGGGGGGCTCCCTATTTCAATGTAGACTCTTGCTGAATAAGACCCCCCAAGACCATTGTAAAACCTCTGTTCAGAGGCCTTAGCCCTTTCTATGAATCAAGAGTCCACATGACACACCCACTGTCTTGTCTCCGACTTCGCCTTGCCTCTAGCCATCCGCCTCCGCCACAGCTCCTCGCCGCCAAGCAACGCGGTACGAACGTGTACGCGTACGCGTACGCACGCCAGATATGGCGTCGTCTGACTCGGTCCGATGGAAGTGCAGGAAGATCTTGGACAAGAACATGACGTGAAGATCGCGCAAACCCACATAGACGTGATGTTTTTCTTAGCTCAGAAGCTCAACAGGCTGGACATCTGTTGGGCTTCTCTTGAAGTCTTTGGCAAGTGAGCATACAAATGCAGCAGAGCCCTTTGGGGTGGATGTTTGCAATCATCGCCAATCCTGCCCGTCTCCTGCGAAGGATTTGAACAGCGAGTTTCCTGGCTCTAAGGAGGCCTCCCATTAACCTGACAAGGTGGAGAAAGACAGGAAATTCAGAAGACTGAAGGACACCTGCCTTATGAATGAAGCTCAATCAAGCTCATGTGTGAGCTCCTTTGATGGTTTGTCTTGCAAGTGAAGCTCCTGCGTTCTAAGAAACCACTCAACAGCTAAACTCATCTTCCAGTTTGAAACAAAGCTCGGTGTTCGAAAGAAAAATCTGGAGATGAAAGGCGCACAAGCATGCCAACTCAAGGAAAAAATCGTCCTCGGCGAAGGCCTTTTGGTCCAAGGGCCTTTGTAGAATCCCACTCTATGCAGTGTTCTCCAGGAGAACGTATTCTAGCTCTAAGATGCTCTGAGTAACCTATGCGAGAGCTGACCATGACTCTGGTCAGGCTGCTTGAAACGATACCTCTAGAGGCTTATAAGGGAACGATGCGTGGCAAAGCCACACGAGGCCAACCATTGCAGCCCAGAGCTAAGGGATTCCAAGAGTTGAATTAGATGCAATCGACAGGCACAGATCTGCTGCAAGCCTGGTCAGAAAAAGGCATAGCTGAAGGAAAGGATTTTGCGAAAGAAGACCTGCGGAAAGGATCGGAATGGAGGTCTCATCAAAGACTGGAGTTCCGGAACTCCATACCCAGCAGTCAATGTGAAAGGCCCACGTTGGGCAGCGATTCCGCAGCAAATGGCAAAGACTTCACTGGCAATTTCATGACCTGGTCGAAAACAGACAAAGTGACAAACGGCATCACCTGTATCACAAATTCTATTTGGATGCCAAAGAAAGTTGTAGTTTACCATGTCCTTGGTGATGTGTTGCTAGCCCAATATGTTTTGCTCTGGACTCTAGACCCTTTCACTTGTCCAATTGCAGAATCTCATGGAAGTGAGCTCCCAAGTAAGCGGACGTGTCCTCATATCATATCCTCGAAGGTAGTCCCAAACGCTGCCGTACTCACCATTTCGTGGTGTCACCTATGCGGTACAAAGGGAGATGTCCTAGAACCCCAACCCATCTCCTGCTACAGCACCGCAAGGAAACCCCCAACCCTTGGCCTGTCCAGCGTTCCATCATCCGCAGCAACTGACGAGATGAGGTCCGCTGCGAGGGGCAAGGCTTCAAGGTTCCATCCAGAACAGCATGCAGAAATGGCCTCTCCCAATCCGACCTGGAGGATGTTGGACTTTTCGAGTCAAGGAGGTTGGAGAGTGAAAAAATGTCGGTATATTCTTCCTTTTACAAGCTGGAAGCCGAACACCTCAGGTTTGCACCACAGCCTGGGTCGTGATGAAACTTGGTTGTTCGTGCTAAGCGCCGGATATTCGCACATTCTCCGAGCACCTTCTCCAAATGCTAAATACGAAACACAAATATGTTCAGCCTACTGAACAAAGCCGAACCAACACGGCCAGAAAGAACTTTCAAATGGATGAAAGTTTGCTCTGTTGCAATATGACAAGTGGCTTTCACACTCAGTGGAGAAGCATCCCTTACAGCCCCTGAGCCAACCATCTCCGAAACAACAGCCCCTGCCTGCCAGTGAGCATCTCCGCCAAGCGTCCTTCACTCCACTTGGGGAAGTGAGGACTGTAGTGCCGCAGAGATTGGACTCCCGGCCAGGACTGGTTCGAGGGAGTCCCCAGCATCTGAAAGATGCACATGAGTTGCCCAAGCTCGGAGTCGCCGGCGAAGAGTGGCCATTGCGTGACCATCTCGCCAAAAATGCATCCCAGGGACCACAGGTCCACACTTTTGTCGTAGTGACCTCCCAACAAAACTTCGGGCGCCCGATACCACAAGGTCACCACTTCCTGGGTCAGATGGCGCGGTCCCGCGCCAGCCGTGCCAGTCCATCCAAAACATTCTAGGCTCTGAATGGTCTGCCTCCGGCTCAAGCCGAAGTCTGCGACCTTCAAGGTGCGTGTCTTCCAATTCACCAGGATATTCCTGCTGTGAGGAGAGTGGACAAAATCTGCGAGGCCTCAAACTAAGGCAATATAGAAAGAATATACATGTGTATATATATATATATATCCAGACGGGTTTGTTTAAGACTGTGAGCCAATTTTTTGTGTGACGTGTACTTTCATATGTAATTTGCATGTTTTTTTGGATGGTTCTTGGGTGGGAAATTGACGCAGTAAAAGCGCGCTTTGGGTGGGAAATATGCATGTGTGTGTGTGTGTGTATGTGTATATTTTTTTTTCTACGCTCCTTTTCTGGTTTCACGAGCTGACCTCATTGGGTCGAAAGCATAGCGGAAGCTGCTGGCCACGGTCTGCTTCCCCACAAGGCTTCCGCAAGGACTTGCTGGCCATATATCCTTCACCCTGATGGATGGCCTGCGCCTTGCATTGCTGGCAGAAGAGCTTCTTGCCTTTCCGCCACATTTGATGAGTGCCATGACCCATCCATCCTGTCGCCGGACACCAAATTTCATCCCAACAACGTCCATTGGCCATGGCTGCAAGTTTCTCTTTGGAAGAATTCTTGAGCTGTCGAACGCTGCATTTGGCACAAACGACATAATTCGTCTGCAGTTGGAAGTGGTGAGATCCCATTCCAACCATGGTGCCGTCAAGAATGCTGCTCAAAAAGGAAGCCTTGGTGCCCGTATCCATGGGCTGGGGTGCACCCCCAACGATGGAAAGCCGCTCAGACATCGGGCATGCCTCCGTGGTGCCTTGCTGTAACTCCTCAATTTTGTTGTGCGTAGTCAGGCGCTTCTTACATTGCTGGCATTGAACACTGCAGCCTTTGGAGACCCATTGGTGGCCCTCCCCACGGTTGGCTTGGAGTAAGCCGTGAAAGGCTGCTTTCTTCTGTTCTCTGGCATGTTTTCGAGCTTCTTTCCCGCTTTCTCTGGCCTGATTGAGAAAATGGGTTTTGTCATCCTGCAAATGCTGAATGCGCTTGATGACCAGCGGTGCAATGCGCTGGTACTTGGCATCTTGTTCCTTTAAAATGGCCTCTTGTTCATGCGGTTGCATCGACAAGGCCACTTCCTGTGCTGCCTTCTTGGCATCTGCCATGCGACTGCGGAGGGACCATTCCGTTTTTGGCATGTCCTTTAGCTGGGCCTGCGAGATGGCCAGGACCTTGATCCTCGTTCTTTGGTCCAAAGAAATGAGATCATTGAAATCAAAGAAGATCTCCCTGTGTCGACTCTGCGTCCAGGCCTCCCATGCAGTTGTTGAGCTAACATGCACGACCACAGGCTGCTGCAAGTTCACATAGTGTGCCACCATTCTGACTCCATAGTACCAGGCTCTCGCCCAGCTCTGTGCGCCCGGCAAAGTGGTGATGACTGCACCTTGCCGGTACAGCTGTCCACCAATCAGGACATGATGCACCAACGCCACGACAAAGTGCCGCACTCTGACATCTTTGGAGGTCGTCGAAATGCCGATGGTGGCCGCCTCCTGTCTCTTCAATGCCAACTCGTCTTGAGTGCTCCAGGATCCCCAAGCCTGCACAGCCGCACCTCCAGTGGACACCTGAACGGCAGGAATCTGCAGAAGACCTTGAGCCCAGAATTCCAGGTTCAGACCATGCTCAAGCTCGAAGACATCTGCTGAGGGCAGTTCAGGAAAATGGCTTCTTGTTTCTTTGCGCAACCAAAGTACATGTACTGCTGTGGCAGGCTGTCCGCAATGGGGACACTTGAGATGGGTAGTGTGTTCACCATCAGTCTGCTTCGTGAAAATGGCACCCTGATGCCAAGTCATCAAGGCACAAGCATTGCGACTATTCAGCTGTTTGCTGTATCGCTGCCAGGGCCTCCAGTCCAGCAACTGTTGCACTTCTTGGAGCATGGATCGTTGGCTAATCCGATGGGTGCGATCCCAAACTTCTGCTCGCTTGAGCTCTTGCTTGAGAGCTGGCCAACGTGAATGCATGTCGAGCTTGAAATCATCTTGTCCATTGTAGCCAGGCTTGACCCAGACATGATGCTGTTCTGTGTTCCAACCCCTCTCCATGAGGTAGCATTGCAAAGCTGCTACTGGGCCCTTGGCGACTTGCCAGGGGTATTTGGCCTGTTGAAGCTTTTCCCTCTGGACATGCCATGCTTTCTCCAAGTCTTTGGCCAAATGTTCAGGCCACCCACCAAAAAACCGGTGAAAAGCCTTGATCTGATCAATGAAGGCACCATAGTCCGGATCCTGATGCTTTGAGTGCATGTCAAACAGAATGTCCAGACTGCCTGTTTTTTTGTAGACCCATCTGGCGGCCCATCGTAGCTCTGATGCGCCGACGAACTTGTGGTGCCAGGCCCATGGCCTCATGGCCCCAACTGATGCCAGCAATGATGCTGCCCTTGTACAGTTTGAGGCGGATGGCACGTAGGGAAATTTTCAACAGCTGCAGCTTCTTGGTTTTTCTGTTGGCTTTGAACCTCCTCTGCTTCATAGTTTGCACACGCCGAAGTCTACCCGCTGTACAGTCCAGGCCTAAGTCCCTCATGACATCATGGACTGCAGGACCTTCCGGAGGTAGCTGTTGTTTCAACAGTGCCTTTGCCTTGGCATTGCTAACAACGAACCCCGTCTTCTTTGTGGAAATGACCAGATCATCCTCTTGCAACTGCTGGGCAATATAATTGTATGCCGAGATGGCAACTCTGACCGCATTTGCAGGATTGCGGTCAACAACATCAAAAGACAGGTCATCTATCCAGAGATCTATATGAAGCTGAGGGAATTTCCGGTGGAACTTCAAGAGAGCATCCTTCAGGTAGATCTTTGCCGCCAGGGGAGCCTGTGGATCTCCCGCCAAAATGCCATGGGTGGCCCAAACTTGGCGTGATGCTTCTCCTTCTGCTTCCAGAATGCGTCCCCCTCTGTAGATCTGCATGGCCAAAGCCGCATGGACAGGTGGGTAGGAGGACTCCAACCATCGTGTGGCTAACTTGCTCAGGTTGATTCTGTCATAGAAGTTGGAGAGATCTAGCAATACTGACACAACCGTCTTCTGCATTGCACTGTGATGCTCTGTCATGAACGACCGCTTCAAAGCCACCTGCAAGCATTCTGTGCCAGGCATGGCCCTCTCCCAGAAATATTCTTGCTGGATCTCAAGTTGCCACTGTCGTGTGTAGGGTGCTCGGAGTCGGCACCACAATCGATACATCGACGCCACCAAGGCAATTGGCCGTTCAATGTCTGCACTTTTGGGAATCAATGCTATCAACGAGACTGCCCATTGGTTTGGGATGGTAGCCTGCTCTTCAACCTTGTGGAAAAACTCAATCAGACTAGTCATAGCTTGGAACGGAAGGGCACGGAAGAAATCAAACCCAACCCCATCAAGTCCAGGTGCTTTTTGTGACAGCTGTTTGATTGTTTTCCAGACATGCGCCTCAGTCAACGGTTTGAGGTCATTGCACTGACTGCGCGCTTTCTCTTGAAGGTGTACCAGGGCCTCCATTTGTGACGGTTCATCCTGAATGTGCCAAATGTTGCCCCATTGTTGCAGCCTCAAAGCCATCCTTTCAGCTCTGGGACGTCCTTGAAAGGGCCGCAGATAGGGCAGCTCATCCTTCTTGAGAGTGCGGTAAAGGCCTCGGCAGCCTTTCTCTGTAGCCTTGTTCATCCACATTCTGTAGGCTTCCGTCTCAACTGTGAAAGCCTCCGTCTGATGCAGCATGCGCTGTTCCTTCGCAAACTTGAGCAAGACGTGGATGTGCTCCTCATCATGATTGGTCCACAGCATGTCAAACAGAAGGTGGAAGCCTTCCAGAGTGACTTTAGCATCACCATGCCAATGGGCAGCCAGGTGCCACCCTAGCCTTTGTAAGTGATGCAACTTGCTCTGGTCCCTCTGCGTACGATGAAGGTGCTGTTGTAATCGGACTTCAAATTGTGCCCAGTAGGCTTGGCCTCCTTTGCGCCAGATCCAGGGTCGACTCGGGTCAGCCAGCGGTCGGGTGACATAGATCAACTGAGTGCCCCGCCCCAGCTTTGGGTTTTCAATGTTCTGAAGTACATATCTTTCAATCTTGCTGTACAAAGCGCCAGCTGTCATGGTCAAGGAGTCATTTTGAAGGTCCAACCATTTGACTTCCGGCACCATGTCTGGGATCTTGGTCCACTCTGTGATGATCTTCTCCAGTCTGGGCGCCGGATTGAAACGCACAATTTGTTGCAGAGCGATGTGTTCCACCCTCTTGGCCAACCGGAAATTGAGCTGAGCATGTGGTCTGAATGGCACAATCCAGTCAGCATCCACCTGCAAATCCGCGGCCAAGTAGTCACTTGCAAAGCCCCAATCAATTTCCCTGCCAGTAGAACAGGTGTCTTCACCGGTTGCAATGACTTGTACTTTCATGATGGAGCTCATGGATGTGGTCATGAACTCCTCAGGCGTGACATTGAAGTCACCAAGAACAATGACCGGTTTCAGCAGCCCTGTCACAAAGGTGAGCAAGCCAGACCAAAGCAGCGTATTGGTGGGCCCTTGGATGCCTTCTCCGCATTTGAAATATACCATCACCACTATCAAATCCAAGCTTGCAAAACTCCAGTGCACTGCATACCAACCACAACCATCAATGACCTGTTGCTGGACAAAGTGTATGTGTTGGTCAGTGGGGTAGAGGACGAGCATGCCCCCATTTGTGCCCCCTCGGGCTGACTGCTGCCGGGTGCCCCAGAACACCAAAGCCTCTGCTGGCAAACCATTGCTGAGCTTTTTGCATGTCTTCCTGAGCCAGGTGTGTCTCCGCAACAAAGATTGGGGTTCTTTGTCGACATAGCAGCCACTGACGGACCTCAGGACCTAAGGATGTGACATTGGCAAAAGTGAAATTGATGGAGTCTTGGCACTGTCTTTTCGTCGGCCTCTCATCACCAACTGGCTGCATAGATGACGGAAAGTCACATGGCAACTCTAATGGCAGCAGGAGTTTCGAAGGCACCGCCCACACTTGGACAATTTGCATTTTCTGTGCATCATGTAGCCTCGGGACCGGTCGTGGATATGCACCATCATCAACCAGCCAGAAAAGACCCCTGTATACGTAGATGGCAAAGAAATGTCCACTCTTGTGTGCATCACCAGAGTGACACAGCAAGCCAATCAATGAATACTGCTCTGTTGCCGTGGTGCTGCCATCTTTGGTGACCGGCAAATTGAAGATGCTAGGAACTTGCAGGATTTGGTGGTGTTTGGTCCACTCACCTTTGACCCATCGGTAACGCCCAATTTGGGCCACCCACAGTCCCTCTCCATCAAATACTTGACCTTCTGCGGTGTTGGCCCAGTTGTTGATCAACTGCTCAAGCTCTTGTGGTTCACTAGATTCAGGGCAGACAAGGTGCACCGGAAAAGCTGCTCTACGATGTACCTGTTGTCTGTGATCGACCTGGTAATAGTGCCCCAGCGTGGTCTTTGTTGCTGCCAAGTCATTGAGTTCCATCAAGAACTCAGAAGCATCATCTTGGACGCTGTCATCAAACCTCTGCCAAAGGGGTTGGAGAGATTGAATTTGTGGTAGTTGAACCACCTCATCATCTGTCAGAGCCAGCATGACAGCTGCCGTGGTTTTGTTCCACAGAGCTGCCCCTCCCATGAAACTGCCAGCCCAAGTCCAGAGTCTGAAAGGAGAATTTGCGAAACACCGATTGCGCGGGTTGCCCAAACGGTATTGTAGATTTTGCAGCACAAAATCCAGTGGAGACTGGGAGTGGCGCTGCTCATCAAAAGTAGTTTGCTCTTGTTCAGTGGAGTCAGGGTCTACGTCCATGGGCTCTTCCATAGTCATCCCGGCTCCCCCACAAAAACTAGGAAATGTCGAGATTTCCTGACCCGTCAACACCTCAGCACAAGGTGTCTGTGCCCCATGCCCAAAGGTCAAACTGAGCTGCCCAGTCAGATCCTCTGAGCCAAAAACTGCATAGGATGGCTCAACTGCACATGCTGCCCCCAGCACCTGCTTGCTGACCAAGTATGCTGCCCCTTGTTCTTCATGCTTGCATGCAGGGTTACCCACACTTTCGCCTTTTCATTGCATTCTCGCTGAGCTTCTGTGCAAAGGTCGTCACCTGCTCTGCAGTGGCATGCACTCCTACATTGGACATGATGATCATGAGCTTTTCAGCTGAGATCTCGTCCGGATCAACATTTACTTCCTCAGCCGTCTTTTTGTCCTGCTCAAGTTGCAGGTTGTATTGTGCTGTATGGTCTTGAAGCTCTTTCTGTGCTCCTTCAATCTTGGCCTTGAAGTAGAGCCGAATACTGTTGCTTGACTCCATCCGCTTTGCTCTGCAACATGGCCTTCTTCTCCGTGAGCTGTTTGAGCGTGCCAACGGACTGCTTCAATTTCGTGGCAATCGTTGGCTCTGGTTTGCTAGGCTCAACTATCTTTTCAACTGCTTCTTTGAGGTCTGAAGGCAGGCTGGCAAGATGTTCTTTCAACAAAGTTGGAAGATCAGGTGGAGGCGGAGGAGCATTTGCTTGGATCCCCATAGCCTCACATTGGGTCTTGAGGCTCTCCGGCAGGTTGCTCCAATGCTCTTGGACCGCCTTCTGAAGTGCCGTTTGTTTGTTCTTCTTGTTCTTTTTACCAGGGTTGCCTCCATGTAGGCCCGGCGGTGGCTCCAGAAGTGCTTCCTTGAAGCTCTTTCTTGGCCATTTTTCCCCATCTTGGGGAAAGTTCCATGATGCCCACTGCACTTGGCGTTTTCGCCGCAGATCTGGTAGGGCTCGTTGCCATGCTTTCCCACAACTATTGCACGTGAGTTGAGGATGCTGGCGGAGTCTATCTTGCCAGATCCAGCTGCCTCGGCAGCCTGAGCAGACCAGGTAAGCCTGCTTCATGAAGGCAAACTTGTAGGCGCCCTTGTTCAGGAAGTAGGGTTCTTGTCGTTCTTGTTCAGCCTGTGGTGCTGGACCACGAAATGGCTGGAACTAACCTTCCTGCTTTGGCTTGAGGTAGTAAATGGCTTGAGCCATGTATGTGTATATATATATATGCCCATATATATATATATATATTATTTTTTGATATGATATGTATATATTTGGATCACACATTGCCTGAGTTAGATCTTCCTGTCCTGGAATGTTTGAAGAACATCCTAATTAGGGGGGTCGGGCCAGTGAGTTTTGGGCAAGAATGGTTGGGGCCAAGCTTCTGGGGCTTCAGATCCCTGTGCAGCCAGTTGAGCTTGTGCATGTGATAGACTCCGCGCAGAATCTGCAACCAGGCACGCCTCAAGGAGATCAGCGTCAAAGGCCGTGTCCTCTTGATATATTGCCGTAGGTCCTCATCCATGTTTTCCAGCACCAAGTGGATGGAATCCTTCATCGAAATTGGCTCCTCAAGGAGTGTCACGATATTCGGATGCTTTAAGCCCATCAAAGCTGTTACCTCCCGCTCCCAAGGGAAGGCTCCGACATCCCACATGAGGCCGATGGACAAATGCTTCACCACGACCACCTTCTCACGTACCATGTCCATCTTGCGCAGCACCTGGCTAAAGGTCCCTCGATTCAATGGCATGACTTGCTCAGCTTCTCTGAAGCGGGCGTCATCACGAGGAAGCACCTGGTCAAGGTCCAGGTCCACGTTCGGTGCAATGAGGAGCACCTAACACAGGCTTCACACACGCACCAAACACCCGAACAAGGATTCAATGGAAAGATTGTGAATACATTGAGGTATACTGCCTTGCATGACTCCACATTTGGTCTTTGAATTCTTGATGACTACCCTGTGACAGGGTGCTTGCATTTGTCAAAGCCTCTTTCACAACCACAGGCCCTTTAAAGTATGTTTCACCTTTCACGTTTGGCCTTTGAAACATCTCTGGCACATGCTGCGTTCACTACGAGCCGCTTCGATGGGAAACTGTGCCGGACACACGGCGCTCAACTCGAGTCCGACGGCTTGCCCCTGTCGGTCACGGATCTCAAAGGAGGGGGCGATGGGAAGCTCGAGCGAAGGGATTTCCAAATTCACCTCGGATTTCTCGAGGAAAGGCACCAACGTCCGACGTGTTCAACCAAACTCTGAATTAGAACTGAAGCGTTTATGCGTTGGTTCATAAGGCCTAAATCTTTGCCTGGTCTCTTTTTCGGTGATTCGTCGAAGCTCTAACGTCCACTCTTGGCTGTGAGGAATCCTTCCAATCAGCTTCTTGCCCATTGCCACAACTAAGTCCACCCCTTTCTTGGCTTGTGCAAGGGACTTTGACCCTGGAACGTGGCGCATCAAATGCAGCGTCTGCATGCAATGGCTGCTTGGGCAACAATGAGACAATGCAAGTAGACCTGCGCAACACAGTCCCTTAGAACTAGCCGGATCATCTTCCCTCGTTTTGGAACTACTTGTCCAACTTGTTTATATCAAGGACTTGTGAACTCCAAAGAAATGCGACGACGCCAAACACCCACACCTTTCCCCGGACCTGACTCCCGGACGCGACCGGACACCCGGAGAGGCCTCTTTCGGTGGGGCGACGCCGGCCGACCCGACGAAGACCGTGGCGACGAAGGCGCATGAAAAAGAGTGGGGGGTTTGGTGTGTACCTCGCACATCAGACCTCAGCCAGATGTGAGGCTGAGGTGGAACAAGAGGGTCGGCTATGCGAGGTGGATTGTTCACATGCACATGCTGACCCTGCATGCACATGAACCACCTAAAGCCAAAAACCTTGCACCCAGCGATGGTTTGGACGTTGAACCAAATGGTGATTGTTAAAGTCGTGATCAATCAAGCAGGCTTGCAGCAAAACGAGTTCCAATCAAGCATTGTCACTGGTTTGGCTGACTGCCTTTGCAGAAACTACCTAGAAGAATTCAAACAAACATCAAGGCAACATGGCCAATCAACCCAAACACCACAACCTGGGCCTAAACTTTAGCGTTTTGCTCAGGGGCCTTGCCGCGTTACGTTTGGGTCGCAGGACTTAGAACTACCAAATACAAAAAGAAACGCGAAACCAATTTGCTTCGCTTTTTCACACTTTTTGGTTTTCAAACTGTGTGGCTCACTTGAAGCAAGGAATGCTCACAAGAATGATCGAAGTTCTGGAGTGCAGCATTCCTAGAACACAACGGATGTTGTTCGTGGCCGGGGCAAACTACACCAGAAGTCGACCTCCTTCACCAACTCATCCAGAACTCAATCAGCGCCACATCCGCATTTGCTGCAGTTCCTTTGCTGGCTTCACTTTTCAGCGGCATTGCCTCATACATTGCAAGGAGGCTGGATTGCCTGAACGCACCGCGGCAAGTATTTTTTGTGTTCGCGCAGCCTCATCAGCTCCAGTTCTACGGGCTGCGAGCTTAAAGTTTTCCAGACTGTAGAAGGGATCGAATGACGCCCCAATCGAGTCTGCGAATTGGGATATCCGATCTCTCCACCATCGTTCCAACCTGCCATGCAGGTAGCGCCTACTAAGGGAAGGTGCAGGTGTATTTCTTGTCAGACACCTGCCCTGTGCCCATCAAGGCCCATTCTGCTTTCGTTTCTTGGGCGCAAAATGTTCTGACACCCGAGATCATGCCCAGCCGTGAATTCGGCAGAGACGGCCAGACGCTCAGAATGACAACGCTCGATGATGATGATGATGATGATGATGATGATGATGATGCTGATGGTGGTGGTGGTGGTGGTGATGGTGATGGTGATGGTGATGGTGATTGTGATGGTGATGGTGCTGATGGTGGTGGTGATGGTGATGGTGATGATGATGATGATGGTGATGGTGATGATGGTGATGGTGATGATGGTGATGGTGATGATGATGATGATGATGATGATG